CCGATATATTAATTAAAGAATTTCGATAACTTCGAATTCGTTTATTATTATCGTGTAAAGAAGAAAAGATACTTACTCGATGCAGACTTATAGCCATCGAAATCACGAGTAGAAGAGCAGATATCATGAATTGTTTTCCTGAATTATTTATCATGACATCGATAAATCTTTTATTATCATATAAAATTTGCAAATAAAATATTAACATAAGTATCTATGAAATCAATTTATAATATAATATATATCATATTATAATTTACCAACTCGATAGCTTGATTATGCATATCCACCATGCGATCTAGAGCTCTGCAAGCTTTTCAATTTGCTTCGACGAGAGATTGACTATAGTCAAATACATAATAATCTTTTGTATTCGATAGCTAAAAATATGAGACATTCGTAAATAAACATCGCTTAACAAAAAACTTTGTAATTTTATTGTTTAAAATTGTTTTGTATATATTTATAGTGGATAAAAAAGTATAATGCATTATTTAAAACACTAACTTTTTTAAAAATTGTATCTAATATAAGTTAAGTTTCCTGTTCTTTTTTTTTGAAAAAATTAGATGAATTAATTTATAGCACACACGATAATATATAAAAATTTTTTTATAAAAACGGCAATTTGTTAATAGAACATAATGAAAGATATTTTTTTTAATTTTCTTTTTACTATATATTAGACGTTTAATAAAAATTTAAAAAATGTTATAAAATATTATGTAGATTTGTCAATATTTATGTAATATGTATTTATGCATATGTTTAAAATTTCAAAATTCCTAAAATCGATCGTTAAAATTTTAATAATAACAAGATATAATAGTAATACTAAATAGTAATACCTAAAGGATTTCAAACAACTTTTTCTTTCTCAAAAATTTTCATATTGGTAATGAATTATTGAAAAATTGTGGTCAATCATAGAGCATCATTTCGTTAATATTTAACGAATAATAAAACTGAAATGAAAATTTATGCCAAAATAAAAATTGTTTGAAGTCATCTCATAATTATCAAGTCAATTTCTCGAACATATTTGTATATTAACACATCAATATTATGCACATTACTTAATTTATATTAGGACTTATATTAATTTATATATTAATATTCTATATAAGGAATAAGGAAAAATATAATATTTTAAATAGTATTAAATTTACGAAGATTATACGATCTTGAAATCAATTATAATCTTATAAATATTAATTTATATTGTAAAAAATATTGTAAATATAATAATAGTTAATATATATTACATAATAAGTATTATGAAGATATGATGATTTACTTACCTAATAATTTTAAACAATATACTTGTATGATAACTATAAAGTCCGATTATCGATTTCGTACATATTACGGATAATAATGCAAATATTACAACAAATATAAAATCCAAGCATAAAATATTAAAATATATGGTTCGATTAATAGAAAATAATGTAATGTGATGAATGATACAAAATTCATTCAAAGGCATTATGAAATTCAATGTTACGAAATACAATAATGATATACTACTCAATGCGATACTTGTACGAACCACCCCTAAAATTAAAAAAAAAACAATTATTCAGATTCAATTATTTAATTTATATTTAAATCGAGTAATTAATATAATATTATAATTGAAAAATCAATTTCTGTATTGTTATAAAAAAAGAAAAAAATCTTAGTATTTTTGTTACGAAATAACGAATAAAAGAATTATAAATATTATAGTTATATATATATAAGAATGTATATACAAGGAACTTAAATATAATAGATATATAATAATATTTGTGAATATTTGTAAATTATTATAATGACAATGTTATAGATTAATCACAAAAAAAATTACACATTTCTTACAGAAAAAAATGTCGATCATATGACAGGAATCGTTGATGTATTTTGTTCGTATCTGTATTTCTATTGAATTTTGTACTATACTTTCCTCCATGTGATGAAATAAAAGTTTTATTTATGGCAAAATACGATATAAGAAATAATTTTTCATGAAAAAGTTTAATATAATTTTAATTTTTACTCACCGTAGGAAAAAGTATATAAATAAAACATATATATCGTAACGAAGCTATTATAAATGGACAGGTCGTAGGTAATATTAAAATACAGTTTCGTAATGTAATTTCGGATTTTAAAAGTGACACAATCTAAATATATGTTCTATTTGTTGATCAGAATAATGCTTAAAAGATTATTAATTATAGAATAAAATATAATAATAATATATAATATAATGTAATAATTATAAATGTATAAAATTATAATATAATAATAACATATAATAGAATTGAATTTTTTAATAATGATATAATATTTATCATTATTAAAATATAATATAATATTTTTTTAATTGTTTTTAAATACATTATCATCATTTAATTAGCATTTTCAAATGTTACAGACATTATTTCAAAAATATAAAAATAAAATCACAAGTAGAAGCAAAAAATGTAAATATAAAAATAAAAATTTCATAAACATTAATTTTAGTACGTTCTTTATATATATAAAATCTAGCCAAATAACATGTATAAACAGATGAAAAAGAAACAAATTTTTACTTCAAGTTTTTTCACAAAAATTAAATTCAGTAGTTTTTTAAATTAAATTTTTAAACATAATTCTCTAAAATAAAACTTTCTAAAGTAAAAATTGTTCTTCAATTAGATACAAAAAAAAATTATAAAACAAAATCATTTTATACATAAAAATATGTGAAAAATATAAAATTAAATTTTACTGCTTAAGTTTCTTTTTTGTTTTCTTAAAAAAAATTGTTAAAAATCGATAAATATGTATATATATAAATGGAAAAATTCTACAATCGGCAATTTCTAACATTCATTTTTTCAAAACTTAATTTTTAAGTGATATAAAATTAATAAAATAAAATTATGCTCTGTATATATATATATATATATATATTAACTTGGACTTTATGCTCCAAAACATATAATATAATAATTTTTAAATAATGTGCAAAATTTGTTTTTATATATTCATATCACATTAATATCTGTATAATTAATCATAAAATTAAAATCTTAATATCAATATATTATTATTTCATGTAAATACAATAAATGCATAGTATTAATTTACAAAAAAGAACATTAATATACTGTAATAATCATTATATAATCTTATAATCATTATAAAAATACAAATTCCACAAAGAAAAATCAATTTTTATTACCTGAAATAGTACATTGCCAAGAAAGAATGTCAATAACAACAATCTCTGAATCCATACATAAATCGAGTTATTGTAGGGCCAATCCTACAATTTTCATTACAATACGATAGATGTGATACTGTTTGTCGAATACGTCCATTTTCCTAGTCAAATGTCGACTATCGTATAGAACTTTAAGAATCAAGCGACTATACCTCTGCTTGATATATTATTTACGCAATTATTTTTCGCTTTCGTATTTTCCTAATATCATTTGTCTATAATAGAAATAGTATGATGTATAGTAATAGCAATAAATTATAATCAATCAATTTTATGCAAAAAATATTTTTTCATAATAGATATTGATTTCGAGAAAATTATAGTTTTCAAGTTTCTTATTTGTATTATTTATCTTTATTTTCCTTCATTCTTTTCTTTATTCTTTCTTCTTATTCTTTTTATTCTATTCTTATTCTTCTGTTCCAAGTGTTGAGAGAATCAAAATTTGTTACAATTAATAAAAAATAATATCTTTCGGTTACTTTACTAAAGAATTTCTTTCTTACTTGTATCGTTATTTTATTCAGTTACGAATATTTCATATCATTATTTCATTCAATGAGTAACAAGGAGTAATAAGGAGAAATTAAAAGAGATCAATAAAAAAGAATGTGTTTTGCTTGGAATGGAAAAGGAATGATAATGTGTAAAATATTTGCGTGATGCGTTATATTAATTATTATAATGCATTATCTAAAGTAATTTTTATATATGACTATTATCTTGCAATTTTTCATCTTGCTGATATTCTTATCAAGTCAAAAGTCAATTTTAGGATTCATTATAATATTTTCTTCGATATAATAATCCTTTCAAAATTAATTTTAAAAAAATTATGATATATTATCCAAATGATATACAGAATTTTTGCTTTTTTTTTTAAAGCGACTAAATTTATGATATAAGAAATAAACAAAAAAAAAACTGAAGCACAATGATTAATGATAAAAATATTTTTTTTTTTCATTTACATTCATTATACGAGAAATTTCGATTACTTGCAGATTGCATTTTGTAAATATTTGAACAATTTTTTTTTCTTTCTTCAAATTAAACGATATATGAAAAGATAAGCCAACAAAAAATGCTAGTTAAAGAATGAAATTAATATTAAAATGATCGCTGTAATAATATTAATTTAAATATAAAGTGATTTAAAATAAACTCATGTAAAACTTACCATTATTTAAAAATTACTGTAATATATTATTGAGTATAAATATATTAAAAGAATTAAAAAAAAAAAAAAATGAGAGAATACATCAATGGAATTAAAAAAAACTGTATCCGAATCTTTATTATTTACATCGTAATAATTTTCTTCTTACTGTTATCATATTTATTTCGTATTTGTTTTTGAATATCAAGATTTTTACTCTATTATTGTTATGTTAGAATTAATTAAATGCTATGAAATAAAGGTAATGTAATAGATTTAATATAAATATTCAAGGATATAAATATAAAAAAGAAAACGGTTATGTTTTCTCACTAAGAAATAAATATGCGAAATAAATGTATATAGTAATTATTTTAGATTAATTATAATGGTCAATAACAAATAATATAAAAATAATAATAATTAATAATAATTAATAATAATATTATAATAATATATAATTAATAATAATAAAATAATATAAAAATATTAGCTATTCAAGAAACTATATAGAATATTTAATTGAGAAAATATTATACAAGAAGAATTGACAAAATAAAGAAGTATAGAGTAATAATAATTGTTTATTTTGATACTGATATATTTAACATCATACTATTAATTCTATTGTAGCGAGTACATCAAAGTAAAATGTGAAAACGAGGTACTTAACATCTGAAATGAAACAATTTTTATTAGTTTTAAATTAAAATGGTGATGATATTCGTTTTTTTATCAAATAATAATTAAATTAATAATTAAATAATAAAAAAAACAAATTATCGTTGTCATCCTGCATAGCATGAAGCAAACACAAAGATGTGAAACATACATGCCATTGAGCTTCGTATCATAATCAGTAATAAAATCTTTTGTACTTTTAACGGTACAAAATACTATATAGAAAAATATCTATTCAATGAATATTTTTTTTTATAGTTAATGCAATTAATTTCATGAATAAAAAATTCAAACTTATAATTTATGAAAAATTCTTTACCGTTGTATTTATAAATATCTGAGCACTATGGTTGCATAAAAATATAAACATATAATTAATTGGTAAAAATTATAAGAAAAATTAAAATTTCATTGATTCTTCAATTGATTCTTCTTAATTGTAATCGCATTTATTAGCTGTGAAATATTTAAAAAAAATAGGTATATTCAATATGATATTTTAAATTAATTAAATAATTTTTAAATTAATTAATAAATTTATTGATATATTTATTTATTATTATGTATTTATTCAATATATATAAATTCGAAATCTCGTTTCATATGTTTTATAAATTCAAAAAAATTAAAAAAAATCTTATACAAGATTATTACATGATTTTGCATATACAGGATGTCTCAATTTAATTTCCATTCGCACAATTATCTTTTGAATCATATATCACTTAAAAAAACATTTACATATAAAACATATTTTTTACGAAGTCGTCTTATGATGATTGTTAAAATTTTTTTGGAAATCTGATGATAATCTAGATTTTTTTAAATAAAAATGTATTTTTCTAAGATTGAAATCTATTCCAATTCATAGGCGCAATTATGTTGATATTTGAAAATCATTAAAAATCTCGTATTTATTAAAATTTTACATTATGGATAGTTGGAAGATTTTCCTCATTGAAGTAAATCATTAACATGATGAATAGTGATTTATCGATGTAAATATTAATAAATTTTATCGAAGTTATTCCATAGCACTTAAATTTTTCTTTAGAGTTATATAAATGAAAAAGATTTTCGAGAAGAATCAATCATTATATGAAGAATTGTTTAAAAGACGTTTCCTAAATTAATTGTGATACTTTTGAAATGAAAGAGCTACTAAAAAATATTTTTTTTCAAACACTTTTCGTAAAATGTGAACAAATTAAAATAAAACACCCGACTAACTAAGAATTCAGATATGTGTTAGTTCGTTTATTATTATTATGCAATAAAGAAAAGGTACTTACTTGATGCAGACTTATAGCTATTGAAATCACAGTTAGAAGAGTAGACATCATAAATTGTTTTCCTGAATTATTTATCATGATATTGATAGTCTTCCATTGCCATATGAAAATTGCAAATAATAATATTAATATGAGTATCTATTAATAATATCATCATATTTTAATTTACCAACTGGATAACTTGGTTATGAATATCCACCACGCGATAAAGCTCTGAGAGTTTCGAATCAATTTGCTTCAATGAGAGATTAAATATGGTTAAAAAGATAATGTTTTTTTATATCCGATGATTAGAAACAGAAATTTGTAAATAAATATTGCTTAAGAAAGAATTTTATAATTTTATTATTTAAAATTATTTTATTTATATTTATTATTTATATATATTTATACAATTAATCAAAAAATATTAATATAATAAGTTCTTTTTTTTTAAATAATTAATTAATTAAATG